CTAAAGCTTAATGGGGACCAGACCCTTAGTGTACTTTCCCCTTTTAAACTACACAGCAGTCCTCATCAATATCGTCACATGCAGATCAAAACGTCTGTGGGACATTTATGATGACCTCTGTTATCTACCTGACACGTCATCTGCTTATTGTAAAGAGCATGCTTGGCTTCTTGAATTTCTATTGATTGATCTAATGATCAGGTATCAATTAAATTCACTTTGAAGAGACTGAGGAAAGTCATCTAATTGAGGTTCCCTGATACAAGGAATGAACATGTTGTACATGTTCACAGCTTGTACTTTCTTGTTAAATAATTATTTAAATAATTATTATGTCAAAAATAGTAAAAGATTTCTTCCCCTCCCCCATTTCAAGGTGTATTCTTACCATATATAATTATGAACTATTATGGTAAATTTATCCACCAATGTCACTAAAATCAATGTCTGTAAATACATGGCATCTGTTGACTGATGTTAAACATTAAACAGCAGGGCACAACACGTGAATACTGTGCAGCATCAGCTGCAAAACATGGTGTTGTAGGTGATATCTCAAAGAGGTCATGTTATGCTTTTTGGCCTTTTCTTTCTTTTAATGTGTTATATATATTTTTTGTGCATGTATTAGGTTTGCAAAGTGAAAAAGCCCAAAGTCCAACCTGAAGGGAGTTACCACCTCCCACAAAAAACACTGCTCCTGAACTGCCTGAAAACAGCTCCACTGTAGTCCAGCATTTACTTCCGTAAACTATCCATGTCACTTTGTAACATGCGTCAAAACACTTGCGTAGTGTGGCGCGCCCTCAAAAACAGTGAAGAAGCACACTGAGCCGCTGCACACACAGTGACAAGATGTGCGCCCGCTGCCTCCCCTCACCCTACTTATCAAACGTTAGGCAGTCAATGGGTGTAAAGTTGTTACTGTGATGTAGAGACACAGTTAAAACTTTACGCATGTTACAAATTAATAACTTACAACTCTGATGCTCTTTGTTGCAAAGCTGGATCCAGAACATCTACAGCTGAATCAAAGCTGGTTACCAGCTTGTCAAGACCCGCCCTACTCTCCTTCTGATTGGCCAGTAGTCCTTAACTAGGTACTGCGCATGCGCAACTCCAAACAAAGATCGAATAGAAGTGAGATGCTTCACTTTGTAGCTAAAACAGAGTGGTCAACACACAGCATGAAAAGCGGAGCAATGTGCAGTATGACATAAATATGGTGTTTTTAAAAAAATTAAACCATGTAAACCTGTTCTGGTACAACCCTTACATAAAATTATGATCCTATAAATGAGCATAATATAACCACTTTAAATATGAAACAGATGGTTTTTCACTGGAAATCTTTTACCAAAGTGCTTTAAAACTGAGGTTTTAAAGAGAATAGTACTCATTAAGGGTGGGTGTCACTACGTTCATTAGAGCATTTTGAAATCAACACACTAAAAACATGTTTGATTAGTCATTTGAACATGGACAGATCGGTACAGTCTCGGATGAGTTTCAGAGGGAGGGTTGCAGCTATGAACAAAGCTTGAGTGGTGGAGACAGGAGGTTGGCATTAGAGGAGCAGAGGCTGTGGGAAGGGGTGTGGTGGTGGTGCTGGTTATGGAGGGCTTTGTGAGTGAGGAGAAGGACTTTGAATTGGATCCATTGTGGGACAGGGAGCCAGTGGAGGTTCCAGAGGACAGGGGGTGATGTGGTCCATGACTGATCAGGCGAGCAGCAGAGTTCTGGATATACTGGAGTTAATTTACAACTTTGGATGAGGTGCCGTATAAAAAATGCTGACGCTGTACTTAATTCTGGATGTGATAAAGACATAAATCAAGCAGCAGAAAGGAGAGTGATGAACGGAGAAAAGCAATGTTTTTTAGGTTGAAAAAGGGCAGTTTTGGTGTTTTGATTAATGCGGTGTTCAAAGGAGAGGTTGCTGTCTAAAATGACTCACGGTGGGTTCACACTAGCCTTTTTTAGTCTGGACTCGAACTAGTAGCACGTTTGCTACCAAAATGTCTACTAGCAGGGGACAAACCTGGAAGAAATGTGCTGCCTCCCGGATATTTAGGCTGAAGAGATTGTTTTTGCATTTCTAGAGAAGGCATAAGAACACCGAGGTATTCAAAATATTAAGTGACAAAATTAAGAAGAATGGATTCCAGTGAACTGTTGAGCAGTGTCGTGTGAAAGCTAAAAAAACTGCATCAACAATTCATTATGGTACTGTAGTATTTGATGATGATCGATGATGATCGAGTCTTTAGTTTGAGGAAGTTGCCTTGCATCCATGATTTAATTTCAGTGAGGCTGTTGGTCAGAGTGTAAGGAGTTACAGTGGTGATGAATTTAGTGCTGGATGTCATCAGTGTAGCTGGAAGTGGAGACCACGACGGCATATGATGTTACCAATAGGGGCATGTAGAGGATGAACAGGAGAGAACCAAGCACAGAACCCTGGGCGACGCCTTGTGACAGAGGAGCGGTGGAGGAGCTGCAGTTGTTGATGCTGATGAACTGAAGGAGAGGACAGTACGAGTAATGTTGAGGGAGGATTTGAGGCAGGAGAGAAAAATGGTGTGGTTATGGTGTCAAAAGCTGCAGTGTGGTCAAGGAGGATGAGAATGCTGAGGTGACCAGAGTCTGAGGAGAGGAGAAGGAGGTCATTTAAGGAGGGCTGTTTCTGTGTTAGTGTTAGTGGAAACCAGATTGAAATGTTTCGAAAAGGTTGTTGGAGATGAGGTTTACCTGGATTTGGGACGCGACAACACATTCTAGTATTTTTGACAAATGCCAAAATTATAAAAAATTATGTCTGAAATTTTCCAAATATTTGTCAAACACAATGTGTTTGATTATGTTGGCGTTTTCGTTGCAGCCCTGCAGGGAATTTACAGTGAAGCCGCCCAAAGGCATGCTTATACACTATAACACAGTTGTTTAGAGTTTTACTTCTATGTTCCTGTTCTTAATATTTTTCTAACTCTGTTTTCTCTGTTGCTGTCTTTTATCAGAGCTGTGGTGAAGTTTGTTCCTCCTGTGCCACTTCTTGCTGATCTGTCAAACACAAAGCAGCCGAGAATGTACACACTGCATGCCAATGTAGCCATTAGATTAAGATTAAAATATACATTGAATGCCTGATGTTTGAGCTCCACTATAAGAACCCAAGATAACCTTAAATTGAACCATTATTCAGACCCATATCTAAAACCTTGATTGTTCTGACAGGGATAGATGCTCTCTCTCTCTCTCTCTCTCTCTCTCTCTCTCTCTCACACACACACACACACACACTGGATCCTTCTCTGTGACGTCACGCAGTACGCACTTTACACACTGCACTGAGTCACTTCCACTCACTTCACCTTAGCAGAGTGAAACAACTTCTGCAAGCAAGAGCACCAGCCGACGCCCAGTTCTGAGTTGGCAAGACCACAAGTCTTAATCGAAACAGTCATCTTGTGGTCTGATAAACAACAGAGCAGCAGAGAGCTTCATTGTCCAAGAGATGCTGTCTCTCACAAGACAGGGACAACAACAAGAAAGGTGTCAACTCTCTCCTGTAACAGAGCTGGGTAACATCTTGTAATGTAAGATATACCAATAATCAATAACCATTGGATTTTTACACACACACACACACACACACACACACACGCACACATGCATATTATTACGGTATGTATGTATAGTAATATGAGGGTATTTTAAAAAACTATTTCAAGGCCAAGGGGTCAATGTGAACCAAATGTTGAATAAAGAGAGATTTATTTCTGTATTGTACAA